CCCTAACACCATACACAAAAATAAGCTCAAAATGGATTAAAGACCTAAATGTAAGGCCAGAAACTATCAAACTCTTAGAGGAAAACATAGGCAGAACACTCTATGACATACATCACAGCAAGATTCTTTCTGACCCACCTCCTAGAGTAATGGAAATAAAAACAAGAGTAAACAAATGGGACCTAATGAAACTTAAAAGCTTTTGTGCAGCAAAGGAAAACATAAAGAAGACCAAAAGACAACCCTCAGAATGGGAGAAAATATTTGCAAATGAAGCAACTGACAAAGGATTGATCTCCAAAATTTATAAGCAGCTCATGCAGCTTAATAACAAAAAAACAAACAACCCAATCCAAAAATGGGCAGAAGACCTAAATAGACATTTCTCCAAAGAAGATATACAGAGTGCCAACAAACACATGAAAGAATGCTCAACATCACTAATCATGAGAGAAATGCAAATCAAAACTACAATGAGATATCATCTCACACCAGTCAGAATGGCTATCATCAAAAAATCTAGAAACAATAAATGCTGGAGAGGGTGTGGAGAAAAGGGAACCCTCTTACACTGTTGGTGGGAATGTAAATTGATACAGCCACTGTGGAGAACAGTATGGAGGTTCCTTAAAAAGCTACAAATAGAACTACCATATGACCCAGCAATCCCACTACTGGGCATATACCCTGAGAAAACCATAATTCAAAAAGAGTCATGTACCAAAATGTTCATTGCAGCTCTATTTACAATAGCCCAGAGATGGAAACAACCTAAGTGTCCATCATCGGATGAATGGATAAAGAAGATGTGGCACATATATACAATGGAATATTACTCAGCCATAAAAAGAGACGAAATTGAGCTATTTGTAATGAGGTGGATAGACCTAGAGTCTGTCATACAGAGTGAAATAAGTCAGAAAGAGAGAGACAAATACCGTATGCTAACACATATATATGGAATTTAAAAAAAAAATGTCATGAAAAACCTAGGGGTGAAACAGGAATAAAGACACAGACTTACTAGAGAATGGACTTGAGGCTATGGGGAGGGGGAAGTGTAAACGGTGACAAAGCGATAAAGAGGCATGGACATATATACACTACCAAACGTAAGGTAGATAGCTAGTGGGAAGCAGCCGCATAGCACAGGGAGATCAGCTCGGTGCTTTGTGACTGCCTGGAGGGGTGGGATAGGGAGGGTGGGAGGGAGGGAGACGCAAGCGGGAAGAGATATGGGAATATATGTATATATATAACTGATTCATTTTGTTGTGAAGCTGAAACTAACATACCATTGTAAAGCAATTATACTCCAATAAAGATGTTAAAAAAAAAAAAAAAAATCTTCCAGCAAACAAAAGCCCAGGACCAGATGGCCTCACAGGCTAATTCTATGAAACATTTAGAGAAGAGCTAACAACCATCCTTCTCAAACTCTTCCAAAATATAGCAGAGGGAGGAATGCTCCCAAACTCATTCTACAAGGCCACCATCATATCAGTACGTGGAAATATTTTATTCCCTGATAGTCTAATTTTAACAAGAGTTGCAAATCCTATTAAATAAATGTAGGTAACGGATTTTGTAGAAACTATCCAAAATCACTCCAGGCCAATCTGCTGGGGCTGAGAAGAAGAATCCATGTAGGATCATAAGAATACTTAGGGAGAAAGAGTACTTTCAGGTAGAAGAACTGTGTTTGATTATCTAATTTTACCACTTAAGTAAATAATTTTGGGGATGACATCTCTACTCTTTAAAGCTCAGGTTTTTGTTTTTATGTTTAATATGAAAAATGGAGATAATGCAGTGGTATGCTGGTAAATGTGTAACAACTGGCTCTCCTGGGGACAGAATTACCAGTTTTGTAGCATTTTCCAGTTTCTATGGTATAAATATTCCCACCAAAATAGCCAATTTCAAGCTACCAACATGGTGTCACTGAATGAATATAAGCCAGCTTTAGCACTCTGTGGGTAACATGATGGTTAAATGGGAAATGTACATATAAGTACTTATACAGTTATACTATACAAATGTTACTTGTCACCTTCTTATATAACATCTTTTTTTACGGTACTAGCCAATGAAAACTAATATCTTTCTGTAGCACACACACAAAAGCTAAATTTTTAGAGAAAATAAATTTTATTATGTATATTACATATAGGAGAGTAGACGTTTTAAGAGGATGAATCAGAACATACAATTTTTCTTATCTAATAAATCCAGATTATGCTGCATTATTTATACACTAACAGAAAAGAAAAAAATAACTTATTTAAGGGAAAAGCACTTAATTAAAAATTGTTCGTATATCTAATAATGGAGCCCCAAAATAGATGAAGCAAAAAATAACCAAATTGAAGGGAGATATGGACAGTTTAAAAGTAAGAGTTGGAGACATTAATCCCACTTTCAACAATGGACTGAACAGCTAGACAGAAGATCAGCAAGGAAATATAAAACTTGAACAACAGTATAAATCAACTGGACCTAAGAGCATCTATAGAACACTTAATCCAACAACAGTAGAATATGTATTCTTCTTAAGGGCTTAAGAAACATTCTCCAGGACAGACCATATATTAGGCCACAAAACAAATCTCATTAAATTTAAAAATATTGAAATCATAAAAAGTATGTTCTTCGACCACAGTGGGATGAAATTAGAAATCAATAACAGTACACACCAATGTTCATTGCAGCATTATTTACAATAGCCAAGATATGGAAGTAATCTAAGTGTCCATCAATAGATGAGGGGATAAAGAAAATGTGGTATATATATATATATATATACAACAGAATATTACTCAGCCCTTAAAAAAAATCTTGCTATTTGCAACAGCGTGAATGGATCTAGAGAGTATTATGCTAAGTGAAATAAGTCAGACAAAGAAAGACAAATCCCATATTATTTCACTTATATGTGGAATCTAAAAAACAAAACAAACAAATAAACGAAATAAAATGAAAACAGACTCATAGATACAGAGAACAAATAAGTGGTTGCCAGAGGGGAGGGGGAAGGAGTGGGGACAAAATAGGTGAACTGGACAAACCTCCAGTTATAAAATAAATAAGACATACCGATGTAATATACAGCATAAGGAATATGATCCCTATACCCTTTGTATAGGGACAAATGGTTACTAGACTTATCATGATGATCATTTCATAATGTATGTAAATGTCAAATCACAATATAGTAACCACTATAACCACAAACTAACATAACACAATATAGTAACCACTATAACCACAAACTAACATAATATTGTTCATCAGCTACATTTCAGTTAAAAAAAGAAATTAAGGACTTCCCTGGTGGTGCAGTGGTTAAGAATCCACCTGCCAATGCAGGGGACATGGGTTTGAGCCCTGGTCTGGGAAGATCCCACATGCTGCGGAGCAACTAAGCCCGTGTGCCACAACTATTAAGCCTGCACTCTAGAGCCTGCGAGCCACAACTACTGAGCCCGTGTGCCACAAGTACCGAAGCCCACATGCCTAGAGCCCGCGCTCCACAAAAGAGAAGCCACTGCAATGAGAAGCCCGCACACTGCAAGGAAGAGTAGCCCCCGCTCGCCACAACTAGAGAAAGCCCGTGTGCAGCAACAAAGACCCAACCCTGCCAAAAATAAAAAAGTAAATTTATTTAAAAAAATTATGTTAAAAAAATAAAACTAGAAGGGACTTCCTTGGTGGTGCAGTGGTTACAAATACACCTGCCAATGCAGGGGACGTGGGTTCGAACCCTGGGCCAGGAAGATCCCACATGCTGCAGTGCAACTAAGCCCATGCACCACAACTACTGAACCTGTGTGCCACAACTACTGAAGCCCGCGCGCCCAGACTCCATGCTCCACAACAAGAGAAACCACCGCAATGAGAAGCCCACGCACCGCAATGAAGAGTAGCCCCCGCTTGCCGCAACTAGAGAAAGCCTGCGTGCAGCAACGAAGACCCAAAGCAGCCATAACTAACTAACTAACTAACTAACTAACTGAAATAAAATAAAGCTAGGAATAATGAGGCTTTTGGGGTCAGGGACCTAGGTAAGAATTCTAGTCTGTAGCTCTGGGACTGTGTGACCTTGGGCAATTTTCTTAATTTTTCCAAGTTTCAGTTTCTTTCTCCATAAAATGAGCACAGTAAAACTTATCTTGCAGATTGTTATAAGGATTAGAGCTGGGGTAGGCAAACTATGGTGTGGGTCCAAATCTAGACCTCTTGTTTTAAAGATTAGAGGTAATTTATGTTAGGTACCTTAGTAGGGTGTGTGGTATCTAGTAGGCTTTTAATAAATGCTTTTAATAAGATGATTTCTTGATATCCAAGTTTATCTAACAAAAATAACTCTTAGCTGTCAAAAAAATTACTTGGAGTACCTGATTATACTTAATTCCAATAAACTCATTATATTATTATGCTGCATTATAACACAGTAAACCAATTTCTTTGCAGTTGGTTAGATGTGTAAATATAACCAATGAACTACATCTTTGAGGCGCTTTAAAAGAGAATTTAAGTTCCAACATTAATATAATACAAATTATTTTGAATTGGTCATCTAGAGGTTGTTTCCTTTTTCCTCAAAGGCTATCCCTCTGTGTAAAAAGGAAAGTTTAGTCTGAATCTCAGTTCTGCCAATTTAAGTCAAGTTACTTTATCTCTCTAAGCAAAGTATTGTTGTGAGGTTTAAGAAAATTACAGATTTTATATAGGGTCCAAAATATAAAATAAAGTAAGAATTTTTCTGTTCTCTAATTAAAACTAAGTTTCTATATTAAAACTAACTTCACCTTTGGCATCCACTCTAATATCAGCTTATCTTCAAAGGGCTTCGTGTGGCAGGACAAGCCCCAGACCCTTTCTTAGCCAGGTTATATTCCTGTGATTAGGCTAGAATCAGGCCAACTTCTATTTATACTTCCCCTCCCCACCCCCCACAGCAAGCGTCCCAGTGATTTTTTAATTGCACTAGCAAAGCTTTACCAGGAGAGGGCACCCTTGCCCACATGAAGGTTAGCTTTGTGCCGGATTCTTCTGGGGGCAAGGGTAAAAAATTCAATTATAATTAAAAAACATATTCAATATCATGTCTGTTTTTAACTGCTGCAAGACAGTCTGAGTGAAAAACTTGACTCAAATATATTATTTTAGTGTCTAAATATTGGCAAAATTTATCCTTGGGGACGGTACTCTCTTCCTCCTTATATAACATCTTTCAGTTTTAGTGAACTCTTTTTAAAATTAATTAACTAATTAAATAATACTTATTGAGATACAACTGACATATCATATAAGTTTAAGGTGTACAACCAGTTGATTTGATACATTTATATATTGCAATATGATTGCCACCTTAGCATTAGCTAACACCTCTATCACATTACATGGTTATTTCTGTTTTGTGATGGGAACAATTAAGATCTATCTTCTTGGAGGACCTTCAAGATGGCAGAGGAGTAAGATGTGGAGATCACCTTCCTCCCCAACCAATACATCAAAAATACATCTACGTGTGGAACAGTTCCTACAGAACCCCTACTGAATGCTTGCAGAAGACCTCAGACTTCCCAAAAGTCAAGATACTCCCCATGTACCTAGGGTAGGGCAAAAGAAAAAAGAAAAAAACAGAGACAAAAGAATAAAGATGGGACCTGCACCTCTGGGACGGAGCTGTGAAGGAGGAAAAGTTTCCACACACTAGGCAGCCCCTTCACTGGTGGAGATGGGGGGTGGGCGGGTGGGAAGCTTCGGAGCCTCGGAGGAGAGCACAGCAACAGGGGTGCAGAAGGCAAGGCAGAGAGATTCCCGCACAGAGGATCGGTGCCGACCAGCACTCACCAGCCTGAGAGGCTTGTCTGCTCACCCGCCGGGGCATGCGGGGCTGGGAGCTGAGGCTTGGGCTTCAGAGGTCCGATCCCAGGGAGAGGGCTGGGGTTGGCTGTGTGAACACAGCCTGAAGAGGCTAGTGCATCACAGCTAGCAGGGAGGGATTCCGGGGTGGGGGGGGGGAAAGTGTGGAACTGCCTAAGAGGCAAGAGAATATTGTTTCAGGTTGCGTGAGGAGAGGGGATTCAGAGCACCACCTAAACAAGCTCCAGGGAAGGGCGTGAGCCGTGGCTATCAGCGCAAACACAAGAGATGGGCATGAAACGCTAAGGCTGCTGCTGCAGTCACCAAGAATCCTGTGTGTAAGCACAGGTCACTATCCACACCCCCCTGGGAGCCTGTGCAGCCCGCCACTGCCAGGGTCCCGTGATCCAGGGACAACTTCCCTGGTAGAACACATGGCGCGCCTCAGGCTGTTGCAGTGTCACGCTGGCCTCTGCCACCGCAGGCTTGCCCCGCATTCTGTACCCCTCCTTCCGCCGCCCCAGCCTGAGTGATCCAGAGCCCCCTAATCAGCCGCTCCTTTAACCACCTTCCTGTCTGGGTGAAGAACAGACGCCAGAGGGTGACCTACACACAGAGGTGGGGCCAAATCCAAAGCTGAACCCCAGGAGCTGTGTGAACAAAGAATAGAAAGGAAAATTTCTCTGTGCAGCCTCCAGAGCAGCGGATTAAGTACCCACAATCAACTTGATGTGCCCTGCATCGGTGGAATACCTGAACAATGAATCATCCCAAAATTGAGGTGGCAGACTTTGGGAGCAACTGTAGACTTGGGGTTTGCTGTATGCTACTGACTAGTTTCTGATTTTTATGTGTATCTTAGTATAGTTTTTAGCACCTGTCATCATTGTTGGATTTGTTTATTGGTTTGGTTGCTCTCTTTTATTTTTATTTTTTTACTTTTAAAATTTTATTTTAATAATATTAAAAAAATTTATTTTAATAACTTTATTGTATTTATTTATTTATTTATTTTTCTTCTTTCTTTTTTTCCTCCCTTCTGAGCCATGTGGCTGACAGGCCTGAGCCTCTGAAGTGGGAGAGCTGAGTTCAGGACACTGGATCACCAGAGACCTCCCGGCCCCATGTAATATCAATTGGTGAGAGCTCTCCCAGAGATCTCCATCTCAACGCTAAGACCAAGCTCCACTCAATGACCAGCAAGCTCCAGTGCTGGACACCCCATGTCAAACAACTAGCAAGACAGGAACACAACCCCACCCATTAGCAGAGAGGCTGCCTAAAATCATAAGAAGTTCACAGACACCCCAAAACACACCAACAGACACAGTCCTACCCACCAGAAAGACAAATCTAGCCTCAGGCACCAGTCCCCTCCACAAGGAAGGCTACACAACCCACTGAACCAACCAACCTTAGCCACTGGGGGCAGACACCAAAAAAAATGGGAATTATGAACCTGCAGCCTGCAAAAAGGAGACCCCAAACACAGTAAGTTAAGCAAAATGGGAAGACAGAGAAACACATAGCAGATGAAGGAGCAAGGATAAAACCCACCAGACCAAACAAATGAAGAGGAAATAGGCAGGCTACCTGAAAAAGAATTCAGAGTAATGATAGTAAAGATGATCCAAAATCTTGGAAATAGAATGGAAAAAATACAAGAAACATTTAACAAGGACCTAGAAGAACTAAAGAGCAAACAAAAAATGATGAACAACAAAACAAATGTGATGAAAAATTCTCTAGAAGGAATCAATAGCAGAATAACTGAGGTAGAAGAACAGATAAGTGACCTGGAAGATAAAATAGTGGAAATAACAACCACAGATCATCTTAAAGAAAAAAGACTGAAAAGAATTGAGGACAGTCTTAGGGACCTCTGGGACAACATTAAATGCACCAACATTTGAATTATAGGGGTCCCAGAGGAAGAAGAGAAAAAGAAAGGGACTTAGAAAATATTTGAAGAGATTATAGTTGAAACTTCCCTAATATGGGAAAGGAAGTAGTCAATCAAGTCCAGGAAGCGCAGAGTTCCATACAGGATAAATCCAAGGAGAAACACGCCAAGACACATATTAATCAAACTGTCAAAAATTAAATACAAAGAAACACTACTAAAAGCAGCAAGGGAAAAACAACAAAGAACATACAAGGGAAACCCCATAAGGTTAATAGCTGATCTTTCAGCAGAAACTCTGCAAGCCAGAAGGGAGTGGCATAAAGTGATGAAAGGGAAAAACCTACAACCAAGATTACTCTACCCAGCAAGGATGTCATTAAGATATGATGGAGAAATTAAAACCGTTCCAGACAAACAAAAGCTAAGAGAATTCAGCACCACAAACAAGCTTTACAACAAATGCTAAAGGAACTTTTCTAGGCAGGAAACACAAGAGAAGGAAAAGACCTACAATAACAAACCCAACACAATTAAGAAAATGGTAATAGAAACATACATATCGAAAATTACCTTAAATGTAAATGGATTAAATGCTCCAACCAAAAGACATAGACTGGCTGAATGGATAAAAAAACAAGACCTTTATATATGCTGCCTACAAGAGACCCACTTCAGACCTAGGGACACATACAGACTGAAAGTGAGAGGATGAAAAAAGATATTCCATGCAAATGGAAATCAAAAGAAAGCTGGAGTAGCAATTCTCATATTGACAAAATAGACTTTAAAAGAATGTTACAAGAGACAAGGAAGGACACCACATAATGATCAAGGAATCAATCCAAGAAGAAGATATAACAATTGTAAACTGCACCCAACATAGGAGCACCTCAATACATAAGACAAATGCTAACAGCCATAAAAGGGGACCTCGACAGTAACACAATCATAGTAGGGGACTTTCACACCACACTTTCACCAATGGAAAAATCATCCAAAATGAAAATAAATAAGGAAACACAAGCTTTAAATGATACATTAAACAAGATGGACTTAACTGATATTTATAGGACATTCCATCCAAAAATAACAGAATACATTTTCTTCTCAAGTGCTCATAGAACATTCTCCAGGAGAGATCATATCTTGGGTCACAAATCAAAACTTGGTAAATTTAAGAAAACTGAAATCATATCAAGTATCTTTTCCAATCACAATGCTATGAGACTAGATATCAATTATAGGAACAAATCTGCAAAAAAGACAAACACATGGAAGGTAAACAATACACTACTAAATAACCAAGAGATCACTGAAGAAATCAAAGAAGAAATAAAAAAATACCTAGAAACAAATGACAATGAAAACATGAGGACCCAAAACCTATGGGATGCAGCAAAAGCAGTTTTAAGAGGAAGTTTATAGCAATACAATCCTACTTCAAGAAACATCTCAAATAAACAATCTAACCTTACACCTAAAGCAATTAGAGAAAGAAGAACAAAAAACCCCAAAGTTAGCAGAGGAATGAAATAAAAAAAATCAGATCAGAAATAACTGAAAAAGAAATGAAGGACACAGGACTTCCCTGGTGGCCTAGTGGTTAATAATCCACCTACCAAGGCTGGGGACATGGGTTCGAGCCCTGGTCTCAGAATATACCACATGCCATGGAGTAACTAAGCCTGTGCACCACAACTACTGAGCCTGCGCTCTACAGCCTGCAAGCCATTTCCTCTAAGATCAGGAAAAAGACAAGGTTGTCCACTTTCACCACTATTATTCAACATAGTTTTGGAAGTTTTAGCCACAGCAATCAGAGAAGAAAAAGAAGTAAAAGGAATCCAAATCAGAAAAGAAGAAGTAAAGCTGTCACTGTTTGCAGATGACATGATACTATACATAGAGAATCCTAAAGATGCTACCAGAAAACTACTAGAGCTAATCAACGAATTTGGTAAAGTAGCAGGATATAAAATTAATGCACAGAAATCTCTTGCATTCGTATTCACTAATGATGAAAAATCTGAAAGAGAAATTAAGGAAACACTCCCATTTACCACTGCAACAAAAAGAATAAAATACCTAGGAATAAACTTACCTAAGGAGACAAAAGACCTGTATGCAGAAAACTCTGAGACACTGATGAAAGAAATTAAAGACAATACAAACAGATGGAGAGATATACCATACTCTTGGATTGGGAGAAGCAAAGTTGTGAAAATGACTATACTACCCAAAGCAATCTACAGATTCAATGCAATCCCTATCAAAGTACCAATGGCATTTTTCACAGAACTAGAACAAAAAATTTCACAATTTGTATGGAAATACAAAAGACCCCAAATAGCCAAAGCAATCTTGAGAAAGAAAAACGGAGCTGGAGGAATCAGGCTCCCTGACTTCAGACTATACTACAAAGCTACAGTAATCAAAACAGCAGGGTACTGGCACAAAAACAGAAATATAGATCAATGGAACAGGATATAAAGCCCAGAGATAAACCCACGCACATATGGTCACCTTACCTTTGATAAAGGAGGCAAGAGTATAGAATGGAGAAAAGACAGCTTCTGCAATAAGTGGTGCTGGAAAAACTGGACAGCTACATGTAAAGGAATGAAATTAGAACACTTCTTAACACCATACACAAAAACAAACTCAAAATGGATTAAAGACCTAAATGTAGGGCCAGACACTATAAAACTCTTAGAGGAAAACATAGGCAGAATACTCTATGACATAAATCACAGCAAGATCCTTTTTGACCCACCTCCTAGAGAAATGGAAATAAAAACAAAAATAAACAAATGGGACCTAATGAAACTTAAAAGCTTTTGCGCAGCAAAGGAAACCATAAATAAGACGAAAGGACAACCCTCAGAATGGGAGAAAATATTTGCAAATGAAGCAACTCAGAAAGGATTAATCTGCAAAATATACAAGCAGCTCATGCAGCTCAATCTCAAAAAAACAAACAACCGAATCAAAAAATGAGCAGAAGACCTAAATAGGCATTTCTCCAAAGAGGATATACAGATGGCCAACAAATGCATGAAAGGATTCTCAACATCACTAATGATTAGAGAAATGCAAATCAAAACTACAATGAGGTATAATCTCACAGCAGTCAGAATGGCCATCATCAAAAAATAAACAAACAATAAATGCTGGAGAGGGTGTGGAGAAGAGGGAACCCTCTTGTACTGTTGGTGGGAATGTAAATTGATAAAGCCACTATGGAGAACAGTATGGAGGCGCCTTAAAAAACTAAACATAGGGGCTTCCCTGGTGGCGCAGTGGTTGAGAGTCCGCCTGCCGATGCAGGGGACACGGGTTCGTGCCCCGGTCCGGGAAGATCCCACATGACGCGGAGCAGCTAGGCCCGTGAGCCATGGCTGCTAAGCCTGTGTGTCTGGAGCCTGTGCTCCGCAACGGGAGAGGCCACAACAGTGAGAGGCCCACATACTGCAAAAAACAAACAAACAAACAAACAAACAAAACTAAACATAGAACTACCATACGACCCAGCAATCCCACTACTGGGCATATACCTGAGAAAACCATATTCAAAAAGAGTCAGGTACCACAATGTTCATTGCAGCACTATTTACAATAGCCAGGACATGGAAGCAACCTAAGTGTCCATCGACAGATGAATGGATAAAGAAGATATGGCACACACATACAATGGAATATTTCTCAGCCATAAAAAGAAACGAAATTGAGTTATTTATAGTAAGGTGGATGGACCTAGAGTCTGTCATACAGAGTGAAGTCAGAAAGAGAAAAACAAATAACATATGCTAACACATATATGTGGACTCTAAAAAAAAAATGATTCTGATGAACCTAGGAGCAGGACAGGAATAAAGACGCAGATGTAGAGAATGGACCTGAGGACACGGGGAGGGGGAAGGGTAAGCTGGGACAAAGTGAGAGAGTGGCATTGACATATATACACTACCAAATGTAAAATAGATAGCTAGTGGGAAGCAGCCGCATAGTACAGGGAGATCAGCTCGGTGCTTTGTGACCACCTAGAGGGGTGGGAGAGGGAGGGTGGGAGGGAGATGCAAGAGGGTGGGGATATGGGGATATACGTATACGTATAGCTGATTCACTTTGTTATACAGCAGAAACTAACACAACCTTGTAAAGCAATTATACTGCAAGAAAGATGTTAAAAAAGAACTATCTTCTTAGCAACTTTGAACTTTTTAATACAGTATTGTTATCTATAATCATAATGCTTAGTGAAGCAAGCAGTTTACTTACTGCTTCCAGAATCCCATATGTAACATATGCTAATTATATGAAATTATACCTTTAATCTGTACATAAAGAGATGACCACATTGATGTTCTTCAAAATGTTGAAAGTAGTTTCCACTGGATAGAGGGTTTTAAGGAAATTTAAGAAGAAACTTTATTTGTATTTTTGTGTATGTTGGAATTTTTTTTAAAAGTATGCATCATGTTTACAAAAACGTTAAAGCTATTCCCAGAGGAAACATTAAAAATAAACCTCAGCACCAATCCTTTGTAATTTTATTTTTTAACCAAGGACAGACTATGGTCTGCTACTTATTTTGGAGGATAATCTCTAGATTACCAAAGGAAAGGCCTTTTTTTACATTGTGGTCCTGGGTCACCTCTATCAGAATTACTTATGAGGCTTGTTAAACATACAGAGTTCCAGGCTCCCTTCCCCACCACTACTGAATCCCAACCAAAGTGAATAAATCAACATCTCTGTGGGGTGGGACCCCTACATGGTTCCCAAGCGCTCCTGGAGAAATGTATGTACACTTAAGTCTGAGAACCACCAGACCTAAAGGAAGGATTAGCAACTTCACTGTGTCATTCATATCTATAATTATATACATTCTCTCCCTCTCTCTGTCTCGCCACCTATTTTCCCACAGTCTACAGAAGCTGAAACCGAGATGAGGTAAAGGCCTCGAATATCAGGTGTTTCAATGATTAAAATACTTAGGAAAACCCACAGAATTGTTGATATTCATAGCAATCCCCAATCTTTTTTTGTCCATTTCTGTCTCAACTTACCTGGTTCTTGGGTTTTTGATGAAGCCAGTGTTTATGAAATTAGGGCAGAGACATGTTGTTTTGACTCCAGTTTTTTCTAAGGCAGTCAGTTCTTCAGTCAAAGCTTTACGAAATCCAACAGCAGCAAACTTGCTTGAACTGAAAATAAACAGTTCAAGAGAGAGTTCACAAGATAATTCGGGAAAGCTGCTGCATCTATTTAATGGCAATGTCTGTTTTCCTTAGTTAAATGTGGTGCTCTGCCAGGCAGCACGGCCACATCTGGATCTCAGGGCCTGGCCCAGACCTACTGAATCAGAATCTGCATTCTAGATGATCCTCAGGAAAATTTATAGGCACAGCAAAGTCTAAGAAGTGCTGGCATAGAACATTTACTGCATCCCAGCATCATTTATCAGTGTAAGAACTGAGTAGGTTTAAATGTCTTGTTAGGAAAATTGGTAGGGTGTTTGTTTTTGTTGTAGCTGTTCCCCTAAAATTTAATGTTGCTATAGGCTGTTCGTTATTTACTATAGTATGTTCATGGAATTCATTGGGAAATTCTCCAGCATAAGTCCTAGTCTTCCCTTAAGCCTTAGCTTGATTTCCTCAAAGAGGCCTTTCCTGACCCCTAGTCTAAATTATTTTCCCATTATATGGTAATCTTCAGTTTTCCAAGAAGCACGTCTTGGACTTGTAATTAAATATTCATTTGGGTGAATTTTTTTAATGTCTGGCCCCCATACCTTTACTATAATAATCTCCATGACTGTTTTGGTCTCCAATGAATCCCCAGGGGCCGGCACAGTGCTTGGCCTATAATAAGTACTCAGTAAATATTTGTCAAATGAATGAATCAAAATGCAAAGCAATTCTTATTGTCATAGTGCCTTCATTTGGAAAGAGAAGGGAAATTTGTCATATTCTAAGTGGACATTACTTTTCCAGCTAGGCTTTTAAAGAAAGCAGCATTATTGAGATATAAATTCACATACCATATAATTCACTCACTTAGGTGTACAATTCAATGGGTTTTGGAATATTACATTATTAATTTTTAAAAATTATACAAAATATTTATAATATAAAATTTACTATTTTAACTATTTTTAAGTGTATAATTCAGTGGCATTAATTACCAGATAGATTGTTTTTCTCTAAGCCTGTACAGATTACCAATTTTTTTAAATGAATTTTTAAAAAATTATTTATTTTTGGCTGCATTGGGTCTTTGTTGCTGTGCGTGGTCTTTCTCTAGTTGCAGCGAGCAGGGGCTACTCTTCGCTGTGGTGCGTGGGCTTCTTGTTGCGGTGGCTTCTCTTGTTGTGGAGCGTGGGCTCTAGGTGCACGGGCCTCAGTAGTTGTGGCACACAGGCTCAGTAGTTGCAGCTCACGGGCTCTAGAGCGCAGGCTCAGTAGTTGCGGCGCATGGGCTTAGTTGCTCCGTGGCATGTGGGGCCTTCCCAGACCAGGGATCTAACCCGTGTCCCCTGCATTGGCAGGTGGATTCTTAACCACTGCGCCACCAGGGAAGTCCCCAGATTAGCAATTATACAAAGTAAATTCTTGCCAATTAATCTGTGCTTTGGATAATAGAAAGTTGTGGAAAGTTCTCTTTTATCTTTTTTTTTTTTTAAAGCTTAGACACTTATTGAAGGCTTAAAAGAAAGATTGCTAGATTCAATTACATAAAATGTAAATCTTCTATACACTGAAAAACAACACAAACAAAAATAATATCTAAAATTGATCACTATATACCAGACACTGTCCTCAGTTATTCAGACGCATTATTTCATTTAATCCTCACAGCAATTCTGTGAAATAAATACTATTTATGATCTCCATTTCCCAAAAAGGAAACTTAGGCAGAGGCGGGGTTATAGAACTTGCCCAAAGACACAAAACAAAGTGGTGGAAACAGGCTTTAAACGTGGGCAACAAACCAGGCCTCTATATTATATACTCTAAACTTTATTAGCTCCTAACCAAGTTAAGAGGTAAATGCAACATATAGGACAAAGATTAAGGGTGAATACATGACAACTTTTATAAATGAATAAGACAATACTCTAATGGATAAATGCCTGAGGACATTAGCAGAAAGTTTACAGAATAAAAATACCAATAGATATATGTATATAAATTTTTTTAGGAGTAATTAATATAAATACAAAGTAAAAAAAGATGAAATTTTTGCCTAGCAGTAATGGTAAGGATATGAGGAAACTTTTTATTTGTTTGAGTTGTTTTTCAATGTACAGAATACTTTCATTCTACATGATTGAACTGGCAATCTTTTAAAGCCATAAATATATGTCTAAGCTTTAAGAAAAATAAGTGAGAGAAAAATTTCCACAGAACTTCCTATTTTCTAAAGCACAGGTTAATTGGCAGCATTTTCTGGAAGGCAATCTGGCAAAAGGTATAAAATTCATTAAAAATATATCATGCTCTTAGATCTGGTAATTTCTCTTTTAAGTATATATCCCAAGGAAATAATCAATCATGTTTCTAAAGATTTATGTTCAAGGATAGTCCCTGGGGTATATAGTCCATGAAGGCAAATAGTTGCAAACACTGAAAATGTCTGGAGTGGACAGATGCTGTTTTTGCCCATCAGCATTCATATTCCCTCATTCTGGTAAGATCGCTCTGATTTTGTCGGATTACACCCAGCTCCTCCTCTCCATACAGTGATCGAATCCAAATTGGTCTAGTTAGAGTGAACTCTAGAACATTTGAAGGCATGGCTTTTCCCCCACGTGCTGAACTTGGAGTTGAAAGTATATTATTCCAGAACTGCTGGTAGCTATCTTGCCAACAGAGGACAGCCTACCTAAGACTTTTCCTCTTTTGGTCTGGGGCAGTTTAAGTTTTGTGTTCCTTGCAACTGAAAGAGTCCTGAAAAATAAATTATCCAACAATGATGGATAAACTGAATAAACAGTGGCACATATATACCATGCAAGAATTGAAAATGATGTTGCACATATATATTTATTAACAAGCAATATGTTCATTTTAAATTAAAAAAGCAAATTTACGTATGCAATTTTTTTTCAATGCATGACTATATATCTACATTTAAAATGTCCTAAAAAATGATAACAAATGCTTATCATGGTTATTTCTGTGTGGTGAGACTATCAGTAAATATTCTTTTTTTTCTTTTACTAAACTGTATTTTCTGATTTTTCTTAAGTGAACCAGAAGTGCAGGGATATATTAAAACTCATAGTTAATGATCTTGAGTGTGTTAAAGGAATTTTATATTTTTGAACTTCAGAGTGAATTTGTTTTTAGACATATATATGAAAGCTAACAGTGAATGTATTTTTTCTGCACTTTGTGACATTACACCAAATTTCTTCTTACTGTCAATAATCTGAATTAATATTTTTCATTCCAAATTATTCTTTTAGATAACATTTCATTACAAGTTAATGATCAGGACTCAGTTTTGCCATGTCTTCCCATACTGGTAACTTTCATGCTTATAAATTGGCTGAGTTGACAAAATACATTAGCCAGAGTTTATAGGTGAACAAAAACAACAAACAAGTTTGCAAGGATAGTCTAACCACATCTGCAGAGTGGTTGTTCTTATGTCATGGCAAGATTCCCCTACCTCCCTCAGCAGATGTTTCAGTGTGGAAGCATGATCTGTAAATGTTACAAAGTTTTCACAGAGTTTTGTTAAAATGTCCATCTCTTCATCTTCCATCTGCCTAAGAATATCCTCTTGCTGATTCTGTAGAAACAGTCTAAATTGCTCACATTCAGAATTCATTTCTTCTCTCCTACATTTAACCTGGTTTCTCACGTTCAACTGATTGGCTGGCTTGCAGAGTTATCACTTTTTCAATTTGTTCCATATCACTCTTCAAGGGCTCAATGGTACATTCTAGAACTTTCCTGTGATGAGAGGCAGCTTTCATGATGGGGCAATTGTAGTGTTTCTGGTGTTGAATGGAGAAACAGCACAGTGTACATAAAACCTCTAGGTCCTTCCCACAAAAAAGGGTCAGAAACTGATTGTGCTTCTCACACACAGAATTCTCTTCCTGCCCCTTCCATGTGCTCCTTCTGATCTGGAGTAAATTAGCAACTTCAGTCAAGTGACTGAGCTGGGTTTGCTCCTGATGTTCTTGTCTCCAAACCAAAAATGGCAGACAGGACAGGGGAAGGTATCACCTAGGTCCTTCCAAGTCATGTTGATGCATGAGCAACAGAAGCTGTGCCCACAGTTGATGGTTACTGGATCTTTCAAGTTATCCACACAGATGGGGTAGCTAGACACCTCTTGTGCCTGTACCAGGGCTCTCACGAACTCCACTGAGTTGAGAACAAAAGTGGTGGATAAGAATGCTCCCTGTGGCAAGGCCTGCCTCAAGCTCAAGACCCAGTGAGAAGTGGATATCTTCCTCCAGAGATCATAGATTGACCAGCTTTACGTTGCACTGGACTGGCATGCTGATGACAGCCACCGAAGTCTTGCTGAGTCCCCTGCACCTACCTCAACTTGAAGAGCAAGAGAGATTCACTGCTTGTACCTCTATTGCAAATTAGCCCACCGAAATTTAACATTAATGAGTTTCTTCTACAAGTAAGTAGCCACAGGTTCAAGAAAGCAATCATTCCTATGGGGGAGAAAAGCTTTTAATTTCAAAATTTCCTAGACTGGCAATCACAATAAAATAACTAATTCAGGCAAGAATCATCAATGACTGCAACTACTGTAAGGTAAAATTTCATGGGAAATAATATATTCACACAATCTCAAAATATTATTCTAAGAATTATAGTTCATGTGTAGAGAGACAAAATAAGTGCCTTTATGATGAAGAGAATAGAGAACACCTCCTGATCAATGAATGGATAAATTGATGGCCTGCGATGGGAAGAAAAACAGCACATATGGAACAGTTCTGCCCCCCCCCCACCATTACCCAAATCTAATCACAGGGAAATAATCACCAAAATTGAAACCATGGAACATTCAATGGTCTTAAACACTGCATAAACAAGAATGACACTGAAAAAAATATGGGGGAGTGTTCTACATTAAAAGAGACTAAAGAAACAACTAAGAGAAATTCATGATCTTAAGCTTTGATTCTAGATAGGTAGGAAAACTGCTGTAAAGTGGATAGTATGGGACAACGGGGAAAATCGGAATATGCACTATTTATTAGATAAGGGTATCATAGTTAACCTTCTTGAATTCTAAAATTACACTTTAGCTACATAAGAAAGTATTCTATTCTTAGGAAAGGCATGATGAAATACTTATAGATGAGGGGTCATGAACTTTGAATGTTATTCTGAAATACTACTTTACAAAAAGCGGGTGTCATGGTTTTGGTATGATGTGGGAGTGTGATGGCTGTGACTATAAGACTTCATAGAGATGGAATAGTTCTCTATTTGGTGGTGGCTACATGAATCTGCATGCGATAAGTGTCACAGAACTATACGTACTCATTTGACCAATATCAAATTCTTGGTTTTCATGTAATATTGTTAAGAAACATGGGAACGTAGACAGTGGGTCCATGGGACCCCTCTGTACTATCTTTAAAAGTTCCTTGAATCTATCATTATTTCAAAATATTAAAGTTTTAGAAAAATCACCTGCAGGCTCAACCAAATGGTTAACTTAAATGGAAGTGGTCTCACTCATTTTGTAGTACACTGGGATATAAATCACTATATCCCTTGCTTTTTCTACTCATTTATTGTTCTGTACATTTTGGGGGCAGTTCCCTACCTTGTGAGATATATGAGTGCAGTACAGAAGCCTAACCTAGACCAAGCCACCAACAGCTCTCCACTTGGTTATGGTACCACCCTTCTACCTGGTCAGCCTGCTTCCACTCTTGCTCCCTTGCATCCATTCCCACTCAGTAATCAAAATTTTCCATTGAATAGACAACTTATATCCTCTCTTCCCAGTGATTAAATTTTTCCAGTGTCTGAATGCACTTTAAAACCTCAACTCAACATGATACAAAATCTTAAGTACTGATCCTGACTAGTCACTTTGAGGTTGAGTCCTATCTTTCTTTCTTCCTTGGTACACTGCAGCAAAAATTAACTGTTTTTGGTTGAATATGGTGATTACAAAATTTAATTAACAATCAAGTTAAGAAGAAAAAAGGGGAAATTTTATTCGAGCCAAACTGAGGATTATAACCTGGGAGACAGACTCACAGAAAGAATTGTTCCACCTGTTAGAAGTTGGAAAGCAAAGTCGTATACATTTTCAAGACAAAGAATCTTATATCAAAATGACATACTGATATTTTACATAAAGTTCATGAAGGATACATAGTCCAGGTAAGCATGTCCAAAGTGAGCAGCAAGTCACTATGACTCCTACAGAGTTGGGAAAGAATGCTATTCTTTTAAGAAGTTAAGTTACTAGGGTCAGATGAACGGGAAAACAATTGATCTTTAAGGTTGAGCAGGCAGTCCCATCTTTGAGGAGCTCTGGTTTATGTGTAATGCAGAAGCACCCTGCACATTGGGGAGGGAGAGAGGTGGCCCAAACAAACACAGAAAGAGGATTTTATGTTTACATATTCTTGTCCTGCCTTAAAATATAAATTTTATTTCATCGATGCTGAGGTCATTGCTATGGAGTTAAGCATTCTCCGCAGGAATCTTTGTACACCTCTGTGTTTTCTTTCAGGTTTCCTCTCTCAAATGCTATCTCCTCGAGGAAACAGTTTCTACTCACATAGTTTGACTGTCTTCCTCTCCCTGCACTCTCTTGCTATCCCCTCTGTTTTCTTTCATAGAATGCAATCATAATCTAAAATTGTCTACTTCATGTGTGTGTTTGTTGGTTATTTTCTCTTTTGTCCATCAATAGTAAGATAAGTAGGTTCTTAGTCTACCTTGCTCATTGGCCTGTAGTAGATATTCAAGAAGGGCTTTTTATTAAAAAAAAAAATAATAATAATGAATATAAAATGAATAAACCCTAAAAAACATTAATATTAAAAATGTCAATGTTATATAAAAGACAGAAGTGGGGAGACTGTTCAATTACAAAAAATTAAAGAGAAGAGACAACCAAATCTAATCTGAATTTCTCTGGGAATAGAGAGAAAAAGTTATAAAGGACATTGTAGGTGCAACCGAGAATATTTATACATGAACTTGTATTAGATGGCCTGGTTGAAGGGCAGTCAGGGCCCTGCATTCTTGGCATACATAATAGACTTCAAAGGCCTATGTTGAAATTCCTCTCCCAGCACTAATTTCATAGTTGGTGTGAGGGTTTAACTGAGAATCAGTGACTGTGTGGAAGGCACTTACCACAGTGCCTGACGCACAGCAAACCTTACCAGAGAAGGGGACTCAAGCTCCTTCCACAAAGTCTCAACTCAACCCAGGGAAATGTAAGGAAAGGGTCACCTAGTCAAAGGGAATATTTATACAGATGAGACACTAACATAGAAGGGTTTCAGAAATACTGAGCCCTGCTAGATCAGAGGAAAAGGAGACAGGAGCTGTGAGTCAGTCTGTGTTTGAAAACCCACCTTCTACCAGCCCATTCCTACCGTTCACACACACCATACAAACGCTGCTGTCCAAACACACACATGCGGATAACAGCGGCCAGAATATCTGGCAAGTAATTCCTACTCAAGGTAAGTGTTAGCTGGGGTGGGGTGAGGAGTGTGATTTACCTGTGGAAGAGGATTACCTGCATGTATATTCAGGAAGGCAGGCCATACACAGTCCAATTGGCTTAAGCTCCTTCAGGACCCTACGCCCAATGTTCTCCTGAAGTGAGCTGGATTATAATGGGAAAGGAGGGACGATAAAATGCATGACAAGTATATACAACCATATTTTATTAATTCTAAGATGCATATTTTTTTCACATTTTAATAATTCTGAAATAAGATAGCGTAGAAGTGATGAGTCAGAATGGGGTAATTTCCCCTTGGTTATAAGCACAAATCCAGCATTAAATGTGAAATCATGACAATTTTACTATGTTCAAGCATCATTTTATGTGAAATGTGAACAGCAGAAAAAGTTAAAAAATGGTGCCTGATAATGTGGGGGAGAAGGAAAAGGAATAGTGTACTGATGGTTGACTAGCCACTATTTGAGAGAATAACTCTGCCTGGAAATTAGGCATGACAGGAGAGAATAAACCAGCCAGAGGTTTCTCTAACTTTTCCTTCTGAAAGTCTTCAAAACTACAGCAATATTGAAACAATAATGTAGTCAACCCCCTTATTCCCTTGCTTAGAGTGTCCAGTTTTTAAGATTTGGGCTGACCAGTATTTCTCACTACATGTGAGGGCAAGAGTGTGTATGAATATATACGTGTGTAGAATATATTATTTCGAACAGTTTAAATTACAGACATCATGTCAGTTTTCCCTTAAATACTAATATTTCTTGAGAATATGGACAGTCTCCTTTTTTATTACAAAACTTTATTGTACCCAGTTTATGCTAATATACCTATACCATTGGGGCCATTTCTCAGGGTTGTGTTTGCAGAAAGCATCCTTGAAAGGGGAGGTAAAGTCTCCCTGTGGGACCAGAAACAGGCTTGCTATGAAAGGGGATCCCCCAAACTCAGGGATCTCTGAATGTGTTGCAAACCCACAGTGTGCACAGCATCCACGTGGCCCCTCCACATCACCTCTGTGGGACTTGGGAGGTATGGGGAACTGACACATCATGATGCTCATGCTTCTGGCTGTGCCAATAGTAAGAGTCCTCTGTCTCTGACCCTAGGAGTTTGTGTCATCTGGCACCAACTATGAAACATTAACAGGCTAACTTATTAACTTCCCAGTAGCATAAAACTCTAAACCATGAAGCACACTGTACTTCTTGTTACTTCTGTACCTAATAAATATATATTTAGTTTTTATCCCAGGTTCCTTAACACAGGACTCTTAACAACCTTGAAATCTCCCTAGTGTTAAGAGGGTGTTTTGTATGCTAATGAGATGAGTGATGGCCAAGGACCCATAGACAGCACCAGAATGGAGGCAAGTCACCAGAAAGATCAAGGTACGATTAGAGGGTTGGAACTTTCAGTCCTAACCTGTGACTTCCTGGGGAGAGGCACTGGAGATTGAGGTAATCACCAATGACCAATGACTTAATAAACCATGTCAACATAGTGAAACCTCCATTAAAAAAATAAAGCCAAGAAAACCCCCCTGAATGTTAGGGTTCAGAGAACTTCTGGGTTCTGATGAATACACCATGGTGCTTTGGGGATGACATGCAGTACCTAACCCAGAACAGATGCTCAATAAGTGGCACTGTACAAAAAAGAGTTAAAAGAG